CAGCTGGGGACATCCCCCTCTGTACAGATGATGACGTCCCTATGGCTGCTGGTGGGGACATCCCCGGGGTCACCGATGGGGACATCCCCGTGGTCACCGATGGGGACATCACCACGGCCATGGCTGGGGAGGCCACGTTCCCAAGGAGGGTCATGGAGATTTTGGGGGGGGGGATGACGACACCAAGTCACGTGTCCCCGTCGTCCCTTGCAGTGGTGGAGTGGATCCCCACGCCCTACCGCGCCGTCACCGTGGCCATCACCGGCTTCGCCTACACCCTGGGCCAGATCCTGCTGGCCGGCATGGCCTACGCTGTCCCCCACTGGCGCTGGCTCCAGCTCTCCGTCTCCCTCCCCTTCTTCATCTTCCTCCTCTACTCCTGGTAGGACGCTTGGGGCCCTTGGGGAAGGCCAACGGGGACATGTTGGCGAGTCTCTTTGTGCCTCAGTTTCCCCCTCCTTGACTGCAGGTGGTTGGCCGAGTCCGCCCGTTGGCTGGTGCTCTCGGGGAAGGCCGAGAGGGCCGTGAAGGTCCTGCAGCGCGTGGCCAGGATTAACAAGAAAAAGGAGGAAGGGGAGAAGATCACGGTGGAGGTACGGTGGCCCCCATGGTGGGGACGGGTGTTGGTTTCCTGCCCCTGTCCCCCACCAAGTTCTCCCGTTTCCCCCTCTCCCAGATCCTGAGGTCCAACATGAAGGAGGAGTTGGCTGGGTTGAAGTCCTCCTACACCATCTCCGACCTGGTCCGGACTCCCGTCATCCGCCACATCTTCTTCTGCCTCTCCATCGTCTGGTGGGGCTGGGCTGGGCTGGAGAAGTCTGGTGGGGAAGAGGAGGAGGAGGAGGAGGGAGGGGTGAGGAAGTGGAAGGATGGAGAGGTGGGTGGAGAGTGGGAGGGCTGGAGGAAGGGTTGGAAGGATGGTTGGAGAGATAGATGGAGGGATGGTTGGATGGATGGAAGGGTAGATGGATGGGTGGTTGGAGGGATGGCTGGATGGTTGGATAGGTGGTTGGACTGTTGGAGGGATGGAGGAATGGTTGGATGGAGGAAGGGTTGGAGGGATGGTTGGAGAGATAGATGGAGGGGTGGTTGGATGGTTGGAGGGAGAGATGGATGGTTGGATGGAGGGAGGGTTGGATGGATGGTTGGAGGGATGGTTGGATGGATGGAAGGGTAGATGGATGGATGGTTGGAGGGATGGTTGGATGGTTGGTTGGATGGCTGGAGTGATGGAAGGATGGTTGGAGGGATGGTTGGATGGTTGGATAGGTGGTTGGACCATTGGAGACATGGAGACATGGATGGATGGATGGAAGGGTAGATGGATGGATGGTTGGATGGTTGGTTGTGACGGTTGGAGTGATGGAGGGATGATTGGACGGATGGTTGGAGGGGTGGTTGGATGGTTGGATAGGTGGTTGGACTGTTGGAGGGATGGTTGGATGGATGGAAGGGTAGATGGATGGATGGTTGGAGGGGTGGTTGGATGGTTGGATGGATGGAAGGGTAGATGGATGGATGGTTGGAGGGGTGGTTGGATGGTTGGATGGATGGAAGGGTAGATGGATGGCTGCTTGGAGGGTTGCTCAGACGCAGTGGTGGACGAATGAGAAGATGGGCAGCTGGACGGACCACCAGCGAATCCAACCATCCAACTGCCCTCTTCTCCTCCGGCTGCGCCCCCCGCCCTGGCCCACGCGGTTGGTGACAGCCCAGGGAGGTCACGCCGCCCCAAGGTCCCTCCCTCTCTCTGCCTCGCTCCAGGTTCTCCATCAGTTTCTCCTACTACGGGTTGGCCATGGATCTGCAAAACTTTGGTGTCAGCATTTACCTCATCCAGGTGATTTTTGGCGCCGTTGACTTCCCGGCCAAGGTGGTGGTGACCGTCTCCTTGAGCTACATTGGCCGGCGGGGGG